CACAAATATATCAGCTCTATTCCCCTCAACCTCTGCCATTTCCATCATTACATTATATGACATCACCTCATATTTTTAGATGTAGCTGTTAGCAGGTGGAGTGTTTGCCAGTCAACAGTGGTCTTTCTCCTGCTCCCCTGCCAACTTCGCTTGCTTACAAGTAATGTAAGATATCCTACAGATTCAATTTTTCCTCGGGTTGCGTGCAATCAGCTCCTCAGGCGCCTATCATGCCATCTCCGCTTACGTCTGCCTGAAGTGGTTGACCTCTTGTCTGCCCTGACGCCTCTGTACGGTCAACCTCTCACCTATCTTCACTCTTCTGTACGGTAGACCTCCCACGTTATCTTGCGGTCGGCCTTTACCAAGTTTCATTTTGTGAATACTTTATGCCAAGCTGTCATGGCCACTAATCCACCAACTGTGCATCGTGGCGCTCATCTAGTGCTTGATGTGGAGTGTGAGATTTTTCCCTGCAACATTTGCCCCCAAGTCGAGGCATTCTTCTGGGATGTCTCAAGCTTTTTGGCGAATATTCTTCTATTCTAGCTCTCTGAGTTAGCTTCCTTGAGAAGGATCCCCTTCCCTACGATTTTTAGGCATTAATTACTCTGACAAAGGAGGCTTCTCGAGAAAATCAAAGGTCATGTCGGTTAAGCTCATCATGACCACCGTCCTATCCTTTGTTTTGAACGGGTGGATCTGGACCGTAGGATCCCGCCTTTTTGAATTCCTGCCCTTTCTCGCGCCATTTGATCGTGATCCTTCGCCTCTACTGTTAGATTGGCAATGATTCCATCCAAAGGCCAGAGGTTGAGGGCTCTCTCCCTTTATAAAGAGACTCTCCACCTAGTTTTATTCAGCAAATCACAAAAACTTGCCGACATTCTGCCAAAACCTTCCCAGAATTCCTCATTTCCTCCCTTTTTCGGTGTTTCGTGAGGATTTCTTCTACCAAGCATTTGATTCCACTTCTTTCAAGTCTTCTGGTGAGTTTCTTCTTCATAACCTTCTCTCCAACTTTCCTATTTGCATTTCTCGCTATAGCTTATATGTTTTTTTTTTTTTCGCACTAGGTTTTTATGATTCCTGCATGAATATAGTTAGGAATAGGTGTTTTGGAACTAGAAAACTTATTTTTTGTGTTATTTGGACCTTTTTGTGTCAGTTTTCTGGGTTTCTGATTGCACACAAAGAGTTTTGGGTTTTAGGTTATGGGTGTTTGTCTAGGAAATCTGGGTTTTAGTTTGAACACTCGTTGTTTCATTTGAACAATTGACCTTTCTTTTGTTATGAACATTCAACGTGTTGATGAGTGCTCGGTGTTCATAGGAATTTAGTAGCTTCATGTAGTCTTACTTGGAAGTATTCTGTTTGTCTCCCTCCGTACCCTTTCGACTTATGGGATTTTAACTAAGGTTTACCCTTTTCTCTTTTTTTCTTATTCCAGAACAATAGCTCCCAAACCATCTAGTCATGGAGAGGGCCCTTGCACAGCCACTGCGAGGCCGGATCCTCCTTCAACCGCCAAACTTTTGTGGATTGATTCTATCCTGAGGGAAATCGATGAGTATGCGGTCGACGCTAGAGATGATGCTGACAGCATCGACCGCATGATAGAAGGCGATGACAGTGAGGACATCACCTTGGAGGGAGGAATGGTTTGCGGCATCTCTGCTTCTCTTGCCAACGTCCCCTTGGCTGTAATGAGTGGCGACCCAGATAGACCTTCCTTCACGACCGATTCTACAGCACCGAAGACTCACAATTGAGACATCGTTCGAGCGTACAAGGGTCGGTGCATTGATGGGAGATGGTTTGAGTACCTTTTCCCGAATGTAAACTTTAGTTCTAGTCTTCCTCCTCCCGGGTATCTCTCCCTATATACCCGGGCCTTCACTGCAGGAATGACTTTGCCAATTCATCCCTTCGTGAAGGATTTTTGTCACTGCCATGGCATCTCCCCTACTCAACTGGCGTTGAACTTTTGGTTTTGTTTCGCCGGGACATAGATCCTGTGGCATCAGTGGTTCAATGTGTAGTTGCCGTTGGACGAGTTTTTGTACATATATAAATTAAGCCACGTCGTGAAGTGTTAAGGGTGCTTCTTTTTGGGTAGTCATGGGCGATTGAAGCTTGTTTTAGGTAAATTAATTCAAGGTATTCCCTCTTCTTCCCATGGTTGAAAGCCCATGTTCTTCATGGTCAAGGGACCTTTTAACTTCCATTCGGAAGACTGCATGCCTAGGCGTCGAGGGATTCAGACATCGTTTAGGAGACTAAGTGAGCGCCCTACCGATAGTTCGGTATTCTTTCTCACTTTGGTCAATTTGTGATGTTGAATTTTGTCTCCTTTTCCAGTCTCTCAGAAGCGTCTAAAGGTTATTGGAAACAGGAAGGAGAGGGTTCTTTCGGCTTTTGAAATTCTAGAGAATGAACGCCACGTTAACGTCGTCTTGACCGAGGCCAATTGTAATATCTAGAAAATTTGACCTACTAGCTTAATTGGTTTATTTCATGAAATTTAGTTACTTTTAGAATTTTTTTTAAATGGATTTATTAATCTTGAAGACATTTTCATGATGGATGATATGGGAAGTATTTTATAAATGTCTAGTGGAATAATGACAGATTAAGGATTAGAAAGTATTATGAGGATATTTATATTACGAAGGTTGTGTACCTTCTTGGAAAGTATTAAGGATTGAAAATTTAGTGTAGACAATGGATTTGTAGCATTAGGTTTACCGGCTTAGTCATCAACTTAAGTGAGATGTGACTATACAATATGTTATTGTTATAATATGGTGCCAAGTTATGCTTGTTAGGCATGCTTAATCAGTTATTAGTTATGATTAGTCACACCCTTTGCTGGCAACAAGAAGACAATATCTTAAACAAATAAACGTGAGACCATTAGTTCCCAGTAGAGAAGCGAAATTAAGAAAAAGAAAGGAAATAAAAAAAAAAAGATAGAAAACGAAAGCAAAAATAAAGAGAGTTATTTGTAAGCAGTTTAGGGTAAGTAGACTTTCCACTGCATCACTTGAACAATAGTATTAGTATGTTTTACGAATGATTTCAGTTTATATATGTTGTTATTGACATGTTTTCATGAGATTTTCATGAGACTTTCCACGCGCTGATTTGGCTCGAAGTTTTTCCTTAGGATCTGCTTGTCACAAACCGCTTTCATGTTTGCCTTGTAGATCCTAAACTTGTCAAAAGCATTGTTACTTAACTCATCGATTTTAGAAAATTGGAGCTTCCAATTGATACCTGCAGCACTGAGATCAAAGTTGAGGGCTTTGGTAGCCCAATAAGCCTTATGTTCAAGCTCTACAGGTAGTTGGGCTACTTGACTTTTGGAGTCTCCTCGGTGGATGGTTTCAGTTTTTCTCTTTCTGTTGGGAGGTCCTCGAAACATGGTGGCCTAAACTTGGCTCTTCTGTCCTGTGATTCTTTGAAAATGGAAAAAAATAATTGCCAGCTCACAAGGACCGACATTTTCAGATTTAGATTTTTGGAAGAGATTTTCAAGATCACCCGGTTATATTCTAACTGAACCTCATCCTCAACATGCGTGTTTACCATGAAAGTTTGCTGACACTCATCGTCATCAGGTAGTTGCTTCTGAGTGTGAAAAATATTCACCTTAAGGGTCATATTCCCGAAAGATATCTTAATGAGACCACTCCTACAGTTGATGAGGGTGTTTGCTATGACAAGGAAAGGTCTTCATAGAATGATGGGAATGGACGACTCCATATTCACCACGGATTGCGTATCCAAGACAAGAAAGTCCATGAGGGAGTAAAACTTGTCAACTTGCAATAGAACATCTTCCACTATTCCCCATGGTCTCTTAACAGATCTATCGGCTAGTTACAGAACCACATATGTGGGCTTAATCTCTCCAAGACCCAATTACGAGTAGACCGAATAAGGCATGAGGTTAACGCTCGATCCTAGGTCTAGTAACGCTTGGACGAATTCATGTGTCTCGAGAGCTTGGAGGAAAGGCACTTTTACTGGAATTTTTATTGCCTCTTCTTTCTGCTGAGTAGATTCTTTATTACTCGAAGTGGTAATACTTGTCGATGGTATCTCAAAATTCTTGCCACTTCGAGTATAGATGGCATTAATCTCCTTGATATTTTGACCTTTAGAGTTGAAAGTTTGAGCCATGTGTTGTTCTCTTAAATTAGACTGGGCTTGTGATGGAAATTTACCGCACTTCTGAATAGTTAAAGCTTCTGTTAGCTTTGTGATTTGACTTTTTATTTCCTTATTCTCTTCCACCAACTGCGCGAGCATTGAATCAACCCTTTGATTCGTCTTATTTTGTGTGTCCATAAAAGCTTTTAGGGTATCCTCTAGAGAACTCCCCTTCGATTGCATGTTATTATGAGGCGCAAAATATGTCCTTGGTGGATGAGATTGTTGCTCTGGTCTCTATTGCCCTCCAGATGATTGTGCATGTTGGTTTAGATCCCTCCAAGTGAAGTTTGGGTGGTGTTTCCAGCTATCTTTATAAGTGTTTGAGAAAGGTTCATAAGGCTTCTTGTATATACCCAATGCATTGCACTGCTTCTCGTATATCCCTCTCATTTCACTAAAAGTGAGACAATCTTGAGCAAGATGGCCCACTCCACCATAAACAAAACATGGCTTATGTGCCTCTTTCCTCGCCACCATGTGGATTCCTTTACTTTCTTTAGTTTTTAGGGCCTTGATTTGTTCCGTCAAAGCTTCAACTTAGGCCTTGAGGTTTTCCTCCTCCCTCAATGGATAAACTCTAGCTGGTCGGGACCTACTAGTGCTCTCAGTAGCACTCGGTCCAGTCCAAGTGTGGACTTTCTCAGCTAACTCATTTAGGTACTCGATAGCTTTGTCGGGATCCTTCTAGAGAAACTCCTCGTTGCATATCATCTCAACAAATTGACACTCTCGGATTGTGAGTCCATCATAGAAATAGCTAATGAGGTGCCAACTTTCGTAACCATGGTAGGGACACATATTTAACAAATCTTTAAAACCTTCCCAAGCTTGATAGAGAGTTTCGTTTTCCTTCTCAGCGAAAATTGAGATTTGTCATTTCAAATTGTTGGTCTTCTGGTGTGGGAAATACTTGTTAAAGAATGTAGTCGTCATTTCTTCCCACATGCCAATAAACTTGGGTCGAAGAGAATATAGCCAGCTTTTACCCTTCTGCTTCAGAGAAAAAGGAAACAACTTTAATCTGATGGTGTTTACGGCCTCAGCACGGCTGTGTAAGGTGGCCACCACCTCTTCAAACTCCCAAATGTGTACATATGGGTTCTCATTCTCTAACCCATGAAAGGTTGGTAGTAATGCAATCATGCCCGGCTTGAAATCCAGAGACAGTGCATTCAGTGGGAACATGATACAAGACGGGGTGGCTGTACGCGTTGGGTGCAGGTAATCTTACAACATCCTTTTCTGAACTTTCTTGTGTTGTGCCATTGCGAATAAATTTTGAAGTGTAAATTCCAACGACGAGTGTGGAGACAGAGGCGTAGAAGACGAGTCGAATAGAATTTCACAAGGGGTTTCAATGTCTGGACGTCGAGCGAATCTCCCTAGTTCGTCTCTATACTAATGCATTTACCCTAAGCGGCTCTTTTTTTTAAAAAATTTTTTAAATTTTTTAACTTTTAATTTTTTTTTGAAAATTAAAAACAAAACAAAATAACTATATAGTAACGTAAATTGTAACCACCAAGAGTGCTCCCAGAAAAGACTGTAGCACTTGGCTCAATTAATAGCCTCTTAGACAGAGCAACGTTCAGAGAAAAGATTGGTGGGTTGAGGCCCACTTAAGTACTAACCTTCCTTGACAGAACTCCCTCAAATTGAACTTTTCATGAAACTACACAATTAATTTAAAAACAAATTTTTAAAAGAATTTAAATTTTGTTGTATAAATTATGAAATGGAATCTAAACGGACGGAACTATCCTAAGTCAAAAGCCTAAATCTACCAAATTATGAATTTCCTAAATTAAGAAAAGTCAATTAATTACAATCCTAAGAATTAATGAAAATTATAAAAGGAAAAATTAAATTAGGCAACAATATAAGGACCAACAATTAAACTATACAAATGAGGAAATAAAATAAAATCTTAATTTATCAAAAATAAAAGATCACAGAATCAAATCACAATTAATTCTAGAACTAAAAAGGGAAATAAAATTACTAATAAAATCAAATCTTAAATTATCTTCTAACAATGTAAAAAGGACACTAAGACACGAAATTCACAGCTAAAAACAAACACCAAAAAGGAAGTTTTTTTTGTACTGAGAAAACAATAAACGAATACTGACAAACAGAACAAAGCAAGAAAGAACACGAGGAAAAGAAAAAATAAATAAATAAAAAAATAAAACAAATGCATCAATGGTCGAATACAAACAGATAACGCAAACCAAAGAAACAGATTAGCAATGGTCGAATGCAAGAAACGTTTTTTTTTTTTTAATTTTTATAAAGGGGCTAACAAACAGATCACGCAAACCAAAGAAAAAGAAAGTAAGTAAAATAAAAATAAAAAGAAAATGTACTTACCTCTTTTACTCAAAGTCTACTGATCAATCTTGCTAGTAGCACCTCTCCGGCAATGACATTAAAATTTAATTAACGCTTAAAAGTGTTGTTCACAAGCGGTTAATTGTAGCACAGAAGGTCGGTCGTATCCACAGAGAGGTGAAAATAACAAGATAGATTAGTAGAAAAGAGCGTTAGAGAAAAATAAATAAATAAAATTAAGTAACGAGGAAAAGTTTTGTTGTGATTTTATTGCTAATAAAATAAAGAAAACAAAACAAATTTATGTGACGAAAATTCAGAACTAAAGACAGTAAGGTGTCGAGAATCCCTTATCCTCGTTCACTAATTTGAGTTTTGATTCACAAAATAAAAGCATCGAATAAATTAAATCTCTATGTTGACTTCAGAAATATTATTATTACAAGTTATCCAAATCGACAATATATCAATTTAACAATGTTGCAGTAAATGACAATTTGTAAAATAATTTAAATAACAAAATAGTGCATGACATAATTACATAAGAAAAGCATGACTGAACTCATAAAAAAATTGAGACACAATATTTTAAAAAATAAATGAAAAATAGATGAGATTTAATTTATTCAAATATTGAACATTACAACACAAGGAATCAAAACTCGAATTGGGTCACTAACTAAAGTCATCTCTAACCTCACCAAGAGAACTTTAGCCTAGCTTACAAAGCATTCTCACAAGTTCTAGAGAGAAAATATGAGAGTGACAGCAAGACGACAGAAAACTGAATATGAAAAACTGAACAACAACAAACCTTAGGCTAACCCCATATTTATAGTGTTCAGAGGTTGCCTGTCAAATAAGGAAACAAATAATCAAAATGAAAAATTACAAAAGAAAAGGAAAGAAAATAAAATTACACATAAATTAGGAGAAATCAGATATGTAATTTGAGGAGGAAATTAGATATGTGATTTGAGGAGGAAATCGGATATGTGATTTAAGGAGGAAATCAGGCAATTTGCAAAGAAGAAATCCGGATTCAGCACCTATGTGGACACGTGTCAAAGCTCGGTTGGAGGAATGGGATTAAATTGCCACGTGTCGCACGCGGAGAGGAAGAGAACACTGGCCTTAGAGACATTGTGAGACAGTTGGGGTCTGCTGGGGAACAACTATCACACTCGGAGAAGAAGAGCAGGCTGGCACGTTGACATGCGGGACCCACGTTGCAGGAGACTTGGATGCACCGATCATCGCATGTAGTAAACACGCGCGCCCTGGGAGTCCTACCTACGGGTGACGCGTGCGAGGAAGATGGGGGAACGCGGGAGAGCTGGGACCCACGCAGAAATTAGCCTATGGCTTTGACTTGGCTCACACATTTCACTCTCTATACGGCTTGTAGGCTCAGCTTAATGGCTTAAATGGGCTGAATATGGCTTCTTCTTGTGTAGGTCTTCACACTGCTTTTTATATGCAAATAATTAAACAAAAACTGAACAAATTCCAATTAAGAATATCTCGAATAAAAATGATGGAATTGTTTAATTAAAGCTTAAATATTTTAATATTTTATAAATCGAAAGAAGTATTTATAGTGCATTTTCATACACTTATCAGTGCCTTCGACGGTCATGTAGATGAGAGGTTCCAAATATCTCCTGGTAAATTTACCTCGCTTCATGGGCATAATTTTTCTAGGACCTCCTTGATTCCCCTCCGATATATGGACCCCCGTGAATTGTCCGTATAATTCCAATTGGTTCACGATTGTCTTCCTGCTAGTTGTCTTTGCGGCAGCGATGGTCATTCCTTTGACCGTCGTTTCTCCGTTCGGCCCTGAACTCCTCAAGTCAGCCCTCACGGATAAGTTTTTCTATTTCAACCTGCAAATCCATGAAGCAATATGATAAATCCCCTCATGCTCTGCCATAAGAACTTGGAGTCCGTATCATGGTGAAGGTAAGGTAACACTGTGATTCTTGCTCAAAAAATAGACCGAACGCATTCGAGTTATTGGCTCGTCCAACCCGGCAGCATTCATGAATCGCTCTGTCTAAATTTGACATCACGTATGTAACCAAAAAATCAATTAAGGGAAGAGCGATATGGTATTGTGACCAACCTCTCTGTGGAACCTGTAGTATTTGTTCTGGTTTCTCCTACTTGGGTCCGACTTCATGAGTTCTGGTTAGCGTAACATGTTCCCTCTGCCGACCTGTTTAAATACTTCCTCCGCCCCGATAGTTAACTCATGGTATGAGTCAAACCGTTGGAATGGGCGTGGCCTTCGATGATCCTCTTGCTTCGTCTTTTTTGCTTCCACCTGGGTCGACTTTGAGCCCGCATGTTTATCTCCATTTCCATTGCCTCATCATTTACGGCTGTCTTGCTTTCCTACCGACAACCATTGTTCCAATCCTTTGTTTTTATTCGGCCGATGCTCTGGATCATTTGCTTCGGCTCCCTCGGCGTTGATGTATCCTTATGCCCTTATCAAAAATTCTCTGTAGGGGGAAGGCGACTTGTGGTTCAAGTCACGCTTGAATGGGGTATTCTTTTTATACTGGATAATGCCCCTAATAAAGCCTCCCTATCCGTCATATCAACTGTAGAGGCGACTGCTTCACCATACCTAGCCAACCACTCTTTCAATGACTCATTTGGTTTTTGGTTAACCATCGTCAAATTTTGCTTCGGCCGAACGTATTTTTTCACCCCAATGAACTGTAAAGAGAATGCTTCTTTTAGTTCTTCCCAACTATAGATTGAATTAGGCTTGAGTATTCTAAACCACCTGCGGGTGAAATCTGTTAAGTGGTTTACGGCTGTCCTACTTTCCTGACTATGACGCTTGTTCCAATCCTTTGTTCTTATTTGGCCAATGCTCTGGATCATTTGCTTCGGCTTCCTCGGCGTTGATGTATCCTTGTGCCCTTATCAAAAATTCTTTGTAGGTGGAAGGCGGCTTGCAGTTCAAGTCTCGCTTGAACGGGGTATTCTTTTTCATACTGGATAACACCTCCATTAAAGCCTCCATGTCCGTCATATCAACAGTAGTGGTGACTGCTTCACCGTACCTAGCCAACCACTCTTTCAATGACTCATTTAGTTTTTGGTAAACCATTGTCAAATTTTACTTCGGCGGGACGTATTTCTTCACCCCAATGAACTGTAAAGAGAATGCTTCTTTCAGTTCTTCCCAACTGTAGATTAAATTAGGCTTGAGTATTCTAAACCACCTGTCGGCGGAATCTGTTAAGTAGTTTCAGAATGCTCGGCATGTTATTTACTTCGAGTCTCCATGCAGAAGCATGTGTCCTGTGTATATCTCCAAGTGGTCGTCTAGGTCTCCTCTACCATCGTATGGTGGAATTGACAGCGACTTGTACTTGTTGGGAAGGGGTGGCGCCATGATTTCTACCGTAAAAGGATGATCATGGACTTTGTTTGGGGCAATATCAATGTTTACCACTTCAGCCACCCATTCCAGAGTTTTCTATAAGTGACTCACATGGCTTTTCACATCTTTCTTTAAACCGGTGACA